AATTAGAGTCTTATTTTTGTAATATTGTTATTAGGACTTAGATTAATTCCCATGTATTATATTCTAGTTAGGTATCTTTTGTACTTATCTAGAATAGAAGTAGAAATCGACTAGGATTCTATTACCTAGTTAATCGATTTCTTAGGGCCCAAGTTAGGTTTAGGGTGGTGGATTTCGTGCCTATATAAGGCCCTCAACCTCATATGAGTCCGATGGAGCTTTAATAAGAAAAATCCCAGCATAAAGGCTTTGAAGGGTGCAGCCCGTGCTGCAGCCCTGTCTGCACGGCAGGTGTGGCAACAGAACAGGTTTCTTCTACCAGGCCATAAAGAAGATCGGCGTTTCGGGAGAAGTGCTTAAAAGATCTCGGGAGAGGTCGATCCGCCGTTTGAAGGAAGTTCAACATTGGAGGAAGTCCAAGAGTGCGGAGGAGGAATTGCTTTGATTATCAACAAGTTCGAGTCGTGTGCAAGAACGGCGTATCACATAAAGAGGGAGTCTTTAGTGTTTTATTAAGTCCTATTAATGTACACATAAATCTGAACTAGTTTTGCAAGTCCTCGTGGATGTAGGGTACGTTTGTATCCGAACCACATTAAATTGTTGTGTTCTTTATTCTGCTTTTCGTAGATTTATTACTGTGACAACACAACAATTCTGTTACGTCACCTAATGTCGTAACAAGTAGTCTGTCTCAACAGATGAGTAGATATCCATAGGCATTCAAAATTCAACAATTGGCATCAGAGCGGGTCACTAGATATACTTAGTGTCTGATTTTGGGTTTTGATTTGTTTGCTTTGCTTATTGGATGACGTGTGTTCACAAGGAAGGTTGAGACGGAAGTCTGTCACGGCATTCACCCAATTCCGCTGCGTTGTAACGTGCCCCGTGATGGGACACTCTGATAGAAGACCAAGACGGGTGAAGAAAAGTGGCATCTCTGTTGCAGGGGGAGTAAATCTCATCTGCAGGGGGAGTTCGTGTTAAACATGGATTCTAACCAATCTATGCCAAAGGGGGAGATTGTTGGCACCAGATTTCTATTTGTGAAGATTGAAGAAATCCGCCATACGTGGAAGCTAAAGATTGGCAAAGATTTGTTTTCCATGTTTATTTTGGAATTAATTAGAGTCCTATTTTTGTAATATTGTTATTAGGACTTAGATTAATTCCCATGTATTATATTCTAGTTAGGTATCTTTTGTACTTATCTAGAATAGAAGTAGAAATCGACTAGGATTCTATTACCTAGTTAATCGATTTCTTAGGGCCCAAGTTAGGTTTAGGGTGGTGGATTTCGTGCCTATATAAGGCCCTCAACCTCATATGAGTCCGATGGAGCTTTAATAAGAAAAATCCCAGCATAAAGGCTTTGAAGGGTGCAGCCCGTGCTGCAGCCCTGTCTGCACGGCAGGTGTGGCAACAGAACAGGTTTCTTCTACCAGGCCATAAAGAAGATCGGCGTTTCGGGAGAAGTGCTTAAAAGATCTCGGGAGAGGTCGATCCGCCGTTTGAAGGAAGTTCAACATTGGAGGAAGTCCAAGAGTGCGGAGGAGGAATTGCTTTGATTATCAACAAGTTCGAGTCGTGTGCAAGAACGGCGTATCACATAAAGAGGGAGTCTTTAGTGTTTTATTAAGTCCTATTAATGTACACATAAATCTGAACTAGTTTTGCAAGTCCTCGTGGATGTAGGGTACGTTTGTATCCGAACCACATTAAATTGTTGTGTTCTTTATTCTGCTTTTCGTAGATTTATTACTGTGACAACACAACAATTCTGTTACGTCACCTAATGTCATAACAAGAGATCCCATCTT